TGTGTGTGTGTGTGTGTGTGTGTGTGTGTGTGTGTGTATGAATTTAACTCAGTCTGGATTTCAAGAGGTACACATACATTAGTTTAATGTAGTTTAATGTTGCAATGGCATTATAATTGCAGATATTGTATAACACTGAAGAATGTTTTCTGACTTACAGGCTTAAACATAGCATTATTGACTGTTTACTGCCCAGACAAAATATGTTGAAAATTATAATAAACTGTTCTTTATGGGAGATAGGAAGATGTAATGGATATGATATGGACTCAGAGTCAGTCATATCTGTGTTGAATTCTTAGCTCCATGTCTTCTGAATTTTGTAATCTTGCTTTAGGCCAATTTTTTTTGTGAAAAATAGACTCTGAGATGGAGGTTTTTCTGCAGGAAGTTTGTTGAGGAGTGTGCTTGGGATCAATACTGTTATAGATGTCCCAAATAGAGAAAAGAATGTCTGGCCTTAGTACCACCCCCATATTGATCAGCCGTTAGATATGAGCTGCCTGTGGGACGATGAATAACCTTTGATAAGGCTGTTCTCTTTGGTGGAAGGTGGAAAATTCTCAGAGGAGTCAGCTGTGAGCCATTAGCAGCCAGTACTCCAGGCAGCTGGGGGAGTGCGTGCCTTGTCCTGAAGAGGATCTGGGTAATGTCCTGCAGCATCCTGCATCTCCGTTCTTTGTGATGCTCGTTTCTTCTTGTTTCATATACTAAGTGTGTTCCATCTGGGAACTGCTTCTTCAGGACTCTTGTAGATCACCTTTCTCGACCTTGAAGAATTAGATGACTGGAAACACAGCCCCTGCCAGTACAGCTTGTCTCAATGCCACTACAGATACCTAATGTTTCTCTATTGTCCTCTCTTTCTACTACTCATTCTAGAATTCCCTCATCCTCGGCCAGCACCTCTACTGATCTATGTGGCTTACCTTGTGGGGTGGCACAGATCATTACTGAGGGGTCTGAAATCCTCCGCACCATTTGCTTCTTAGGCCACAACCGCTGTACTGAGAAATTCCCCATGACTCACCTGAATGATAGAACTGCTTCCTGCCCCCACTGTATGACAGCAGCCCTACCTCCTGATGATCATTCAGTTACCCCTGCCAGTACGGGGACTCGTCAGGCACAAGGAGCCCACAGTGATGGGATGTAAGGCACATACCAAAGTTTAATGAGTTTCCTACTATGTTCCCTCATGGAAGCATTTCCCCTCTGAAAACCAGGATCTCTGGATCCACAGAGCCTAAACTTGTGGGAACCGGAAGCACAACTTCCTCACTTAGACTGGGAGATTCTAAGTTCAACCACTCCCACTTCCTCCCCTTGGTTCATAGTCCTGTGTATTCTATCTGCTGGGGATGCGGTACTGAAGAATGGTCATTGATTTAGAGTGTTTACCACATACCCCGATGATACCCCATCATTGCAGGGTATCACCTCCAAGCTGCCGCTTCAGCTGTACCTTTGAAGTCTGTCTCATCAGTCTATCAGGCCGGCAGCTTTTGGGTCATGCAATAGGTATCAGGATGAGTGGATTCCATGTCATGCACCCACTGCTGAAGTCCAAAGTATCCTCAGGTCTGAGGTGATATTATGCAGTATTATATACTCATAAATGTGAACATTCTGTAGGTCCTCAGATTATGGTGCTAAAACAGGGCCTGCATGCAGGTAAGCAAACCCTTATTTGGAATTTGTTCCAGTTCTAATCAAAATGAATCACTGCTTCTTCTAAGGTGGAAGAAGTCCAGTGTCACAGTCAAGCTTTCCATCATGTGGCTGGTTTATCTCCCCAAGGAGCAGTGCTGACACTATGGCTCAGCATTGGTGCCTGTGCTATCAGGTTGGACAGCTCATCAACCATTCCGTGTGTGGGTAAACAGAAATATATGTTGTGTAGCCTATATGACATAGATGGGTTCTACAGAAAGAACGAAGGAGAGGTTATCCTCAAGCTTAAGGAAGAACTGTAGGGGGAGAATGGAACTTCTTGGGCAGTGTATTAGAAATATAGTGAAGCTCACTAATTTATATAT